CGACGCGGGGCTCGAACCCACGAACCACGAGATCATGACCTAAGGGAAAGTCGGAAGCTTAACCGACTAAGCCACCCAGGCGCCCCAGAGCTGGCATTTTAGCCTAGGCTGGGACTCCAGAGACTGGAACCGCCATGCTCTATCACCTTCCTTGGATGACGGTGATACAACAGTGCTGAAAGTAGCTACCGTAGACTGAGCCCTTATGTGTCAAGTGCTATGCAGAGCACTTTCTTCTTTGCTTTTCATAACAACCCCATAAAGTAGATGCTATTTTCATTCCCATTTTACAGACTGAAAAACTGACACTCAGAGAGGTTAATTAAACTGCCCAAGGCCACACAGCTTTACACAGCAGAGCTTCAAAAAGACTTCAGGTCTGGCTGAAGCCTATGTGCCTAACCAGTCAGAGGAGAGGGCGACCATGAGGAAGAAGACCCCGTGGCCCAGCGGTCAGGCTCTCACTGGATTACGACGCCTCTCGAGCTTACAGTAAACATGAGCTGACCTCCTTGTGGCAAAAAAGGGTCTAATGGGACAGCTTCAGGCAAGAGAATATGATTGCAGGGGCGCCTGGGTGGCTTAGTTGATTAAGCCTCTGACTTTGGCTTAAGTCATGATCTCATAGTTTGTGAGTTTGAGCCTCGCATTGGGCTCTCTGCTGTCAGGGCAGAGTCTGCTTGGGATTCTCTCTTTCTCCGCCCCTCCCTTGCACTCTCTCCCTCTCTCTCAAAAAGAAATAAATAGTAAGTAAGAAACAAAGAGGGAATGATCACCAGTGTCCCATGCCATGTTGGGTTTAGTTAAAACAGAGATCACTAGGGGCTTTAGCAAGAATGGCAAGAGTGGCTTGGCTGCGTGGTGGGTCAGGCGGCAGGAAACCAAAAGCATAGGTGAAGATGCTTGGAGGGAGGGGAGGTGGACAGAGGCGTCCAGCCCTGGTGACTACCCCAAGAGAGAGAGATGGGGTGTGTATATGTGTGAGGGGAGCTCAAAGGGTTTGAGCGGGCTCCCTGTGGCATGGCACAAAAGTGGAAGCAGGCTTCCACAGGAGCTGGGGAATGTCAAGGCCGCAGCCCAACACCTGCCTCAGCCACTAACAACCTCCACTTGCTGGGCACCACGCCAAGCACTCCGTGGGGAGTAAGTAACCCATTTAAACCTCACGACACGTGGAAGTTCTCATTCCAAACGCCATTTGTCACAGTGGGGAGCTGAGGCATGGACAGTCAAGCCCTTGGCCCAAGGTCACACAGAGCTCGAGCAGTAGAGTTGGGGTTGGATCCAAGCCTGTCCAAGTCTTTTCCACTATTCTGGTGGTAGAAGGATTGGTCTGCCAACCTCCTTAGGGGACCCAGAGCCATCCCAGTGAAGAGCACTAGAAACCAACTCAACTGGGGGCTCCTGGGTGGCTTAGTCGGTTAAGCGTCCGACTTTCGCTTAGGTCATGATCTCGCGGTTCGTGGGTTCGAGCCCCGCGTTGCACTGTCTGCACTGTCAGTGCAGAGCCTGCTTGGGTTTCTCTCCCTCCCCTTGTCTCTGCCCCTCGCCCCTGCTCACGCCCACACACACTCTCTCAAAATAAATAAACTTAAAAAAAAAAAAGGACAATCACCATTTGCTGAACACTCGGCATGCTAGGTCTCATGTGCTTCTCACTGAATGCAAAAACTCATTTAATTCTCTCGGTCTTTCTGTGTGGTGGCCAGTACTGTCATCCTCATTTCACAGATGGGAGGACTGAGGTTCAGAGAGATTGATTTGTCTGAAGCTATTAAGTAGCAGAGCTGGCATTTTATTTATTTATTTAAAAAAAATTTTTATAGTTTATATTTGAGAGAGAGATAGAGACAGCGTGAGCAGGGGAGGATCAGAGAGAGAGGGAGACACAGAATCCGAAGCAGGCTCCAGGCTCTGAGCTGTCAGCACAGAACCCGACGTGGGGCTCAAACCCACGAACCGTGAGATCATGACCTGAGCCGAAGTCAGACGTTTAACCAACTGAGCCACCCAGGCGCCCCTCAAATACCATTTCTGAAGGTCTGGCTGACTCCCCAAGGGCAGGGCGGCTCCCCTTCTGTGTTCCCACAGCACTCCACACCCCCTGCAGGATGGCAATGTATCTGCTTGTGTGTTATCTCCACTAGACTGAGTGCTTCCTGAGGGTAGTTTGTGGCTAATTTCGCTTGCAATTCCCTACTGCTTGACACCCTACCCAGCATAGCAGGCCTCCAAAAAAGTCGTTTTTGAATGAATGACGTTTAGCAAGGACAGATGCAAAAATTATTTGCACGATGCGGGTTGGGAAAGCCTCCTTTTGGCAAGGGCCTTGGTTTAAGAAACATTTCCGGGGCGCCTGGGTGGCTCAGTTGGTTAAGCACCCGACTTCAGTGCAGGTCATGATCTCACGGTTCGTGGGTTCGAGCCCCACGTCGGGCTCTATGCTGACAGCTCAGAGCCTGGAGCCTATTTCAGAGTCTGTGTCTCCCTCTCTCTCTGACCCTCCCTTGCTCACGCTGTCTCTCTCTCCTAGAAAGAAATAAAAATATTTTAAAAAAAATGAATGAAGTACTGACACACGGTCCAATGTAGATGTACCTTGAAAACACTACTAACTGAAAGAAGCCAGTCACAACAGACCACATACTGTGGGATTCTTCCTCTACATAATATCCGGAACAGGCCAATCTATGGACAGAGACTAAAGTTGTGGTTGCTGGGAGCTGGGGGAGGGGGGTGGGGAGAGTGACTGCAAATGGGTACAGGGCTTCTTTGGAAAAATGAAAATCTTCTAATATTATATAGTGGTGATGATCACACAACTTTATGGATATACTAAGAGCCACTGAACCGTACTCTTTAAAAGCGGGTGAAGGGTGCCTAGGTGGCTCAGTCGGTGGAGCGTCTGACTCTTGGTTTTTGGCTGTGGTTGTGGTCTCACGGGTTATGGGTTCGAGCCCCGCGTTGCACTGTCTGCACTGTCAGTGCAGAGCCTGCTTGGGTTTCTCTCCCTCCCCTTGTCTCTGCCCCTCGCCCCTGCTCACGCCCACACACACTCTCTCAAAATAAATAAACTTAAAAAAAAAAAAGGACAATCACCATTTGCTGAACACTCGGCATGCTAGGTCTCATGTGCTTCTCACTGAATGCAAAAACTCATTTAATTCTCTCGGTCTTTCTGTGTGGTGGCCAGTACTGTCATCCTCATTTCACAGATGGGAGGACTGAGGTTCAGAGAGATTGATTTGTCTGAAGCTATTAAGTAGCAGAGCTGGCATTTTATTTATTTATTTAAAAAAAATTTTTTTTAATGTTTTATTTATTTCTAGGAGAGAGAGAGAGAGAGAGAGGGAGAGACAGCATGAGCAGGGGAGGGTCAGAGAGAGAGGGAGTCACAGACTGAAACAGGCTCCAGGCTCCGAGCTGGCAGTCAGCACAGAGCCCGACGCGGGGCTTGAACCCACGAACCACGAGATCATGACCTAAGGGAAAGTCGGAAGCTTAACCGACTAAGCCACCCAGGCGCCCCAGAGCTGGCATTTTAGCCTAGGCTGGGACTCCAGAGACTGGAACCGCCATGCTCTATCACCTTCCTTGGATGACGGTGATACAACAGTGCTGAAAGTAGCTACCGTAGACTGAGCCCTTATGTGTCAAGTGCTATGCAGAGCACTTTCTTCTTTGCTTTTCATAACAACCCCATAAAGTAGATGCTATTTTCATTCCCATTTTACAGACTGAAAAACTGACACTCAGAGAGGTTAATTAAACTGCCCAAGGCCACACAGCTTTACACAGCAGAGCTTCAAAAAGACTTCAGGTCTGGCTGAAGCCTATGTGCCTAACCAGTCAGAGGAGAGGGCGACCATGAGGAAGAAGACCCCGTGGCCCAGCGGTCAGGCTCTCACTGGATTACGACGCCTCTCGAGCTTACAGTAAACATGAGCTGACCTCCTTGTGGCAAAAAAGGGTCTAATGGGACAGCTTCAGGCAAGAGAATATGATTGCAGGGGCGCCTGGGTGGCTTAGTTGATTAAGCCTCTGACTTTGGCTTAAGTCATGATCTCATAGTTTGTGAGTTTGAGCCTCGCATTGGGCTCTCTGCTGTCAGGGCAGAGTCTGCTTGGGATTCTCTCTTTCTCCGCCCCTCCCTTGCACTCTCTCCCTCTCTCTCAAAAAGAAATAAATAGTAAGTAAGAAACAAAGAGGGAATGATCACCAGTGTCCCATGCCATGTTGGGTTTAGTTAAAACAGAGATCACTAGGGGCTTTAGCAAGAATGGCAAGAGTGGCTTGGCTGCGTGGTGGGTCAGGCGGCAGGAAACCAAAAGCATAGGTGAAGATGCTTGGAGGGAGGGGAGGTGGACAGAGGCGTCCAGCCCTGGTGACTACCCCAAGAGAGAGAGATGGGGTGTGTATATGTGTGAGGGGAGCTCAAAGGGTTTGAGCGGGCTCCCTGTGGCATGGCACAAAAGTGGAAGCAGGCTTCCACAGGAGCTGGGGAATGTCAAGGCCGCAGCCCAACACCTGCCTCAGCCACTAACAACCTCCACTTGCTGGGCACCACGCCAAGCACTCCGTGGGGAGTAAGTAACCCATTTAAACCTCACGACACGTGGAAGTTCTCATTCCAAACGCCATTTGTCACAGTGGGGAGCTGAGGCATGGACAGTCAAGCCCTTGGCCCAAGGTCACACAGAGCTCGAGCAGTAGAGTTGGGGTTGGATCCAAGCCTGTCCAAGTCTTTTCCACTATTCTGGTGGTAGAAGGATTGGTCTGCCAACCTCCTTAGGGGACCCAGAGCCATCCCAGTGAAGAGCACTAGAAACCAACTCAACTGGGGGCTCCTGGGTGGCTTAGTCGGTTAAGCGTCCGACTTTCGCTTAGGTCATGATCTCGCGGTTCGTGGGTTCGAGCCCCGCGTCGGGCTCTGTGCTGACTGCGAGCTCAGAGCCTGGAGCCTATTTCAGAGTCTGTGTCTCCCTCTCTCTCTGACCCTCCCCTGCTCACGCTCTCTCTCTCCTAGAAATAAATAAAAATATTAAAAAAAAAAAAGAAACCAACTCAACTGGTCATTCTCAATGCAAATGGCCATCGGACTCTCCTCCATCGTCATACCCAGGTGAAGTGACTGCAGCCTCTGTTTTAAAGGGGCTACCTGCCTGGGGTCACTTTCCTGCTGAGATCCTGCCCCAGTCTGCCTTGATACCAGTGCGGCCTTGGGTGAGATAGTTTCTCTTTGGGGCCTCCGTTTCCTCCCCAGGAAAACAAGAATGCTCTTGGCTTGGTCAATTTCTGCTCTTCTCTCAGAGGTTACCTCTAGGAAAGACTTAGACTCCTCAAGCTTTAGACTCAGGGCTGGCTTCCCTCTTCTTTGTTCCCATAGCTAAGACACTACACAGCACCAAGCATATGGCATGAGAAGTGACACATCATTAACTTAGAGGTTAAACACATGGATGGGGGCTTTCCAGTATGTGCTTGACTCTGACCTTTCTTCCTTATTAGCTGTGTAATCTGGCAAGTTACTCGACCTCTCTTTGTGCTGTGGATTTCTCATCTGTAAGATGCCAGTGGCTTGTCCTCTACCCTGTGGGGCTCACGGGTTGGTGTGAGAATCACGGGGTGGGGTTGCATATATATAGCACCAGGCACAGAACTTGGGGCCCTGATTAATTACTGCTGCCCCAGCACCTAGCAAAGTACCTAAACTAGAACAGTGGGTCATTAATTAGATTTTCTCCTTCAGAGTGCTTCTCCCAAAGGCTGCGATCCCACAGACCATCCATCCAGTGGTGGAAAAGACCTGCTGAGTGTGCTGCTGCTGGAAGCATCTGAGTGGAGGTGTGAGGCTCTACGGAAAGGATCGTAGGATGAGGTGGAAGGCTCTGGATTTGCTGAGGACGGGTCCGTGTCCGGGGGTTCTCTGCAGCCTCGGTCCTCAGGACGGGGCTGACAAATGTGTGACCCAGAAGAGCCTTTTCTCATGGGGGCTCATACCTGGTAGATGTGTTTGACATGGTGGATCTTGGGACCCTTGGGGGTGAAGCTGACATACAGTGTGGAGTTTTCCTTGCTGTGGAGAGAGAAGAGCAGAAATAGAAAGTGGAGAAGATAAAAGCCCAGTTTCCAGAAAAGCAGGGGCCCGGGGCCAGGAAAAACCTCTGAGTTGCCAGGTCCTGGGCTAGCGATCACATAGGCACGATCACATAGGCCAACATGGTGGCGGGCTAGGGCTGGAGCCCGGGTGAATGTGCCTTTGGAACTGTGTTCTCCTTGTTCCACGGGGTCCTTCCCCTCCCACGAGGGTCTCCACTGTCCTCTGGGTTCTTCATCTCCTGCATAACAGCACAGCTTCTGCCTTCCTCTCCACCCCATCCTTTCAGTGACCTATGTCACTGTCTGATCCTGCTGCCCACCTACTCAGAATTCGCCAGTGGCTCCCTGCTGCCCATGAGGGTCAGGTCCAAAGCGCCCCATGTCCAGGCCTGTCCACCTCCCAGCCTGCCTGCTCACCGGGCTCCACACACACCGTCCCCTGGGCCTGCACACTCCCTACTCTTCAAATCCAGCCCATTACTTGCCGCTCCCTGTGCCTGGGCTATTCTCCCCGCTGAGGCTATCCTGCCTCCTCTTTGGCCCTTATCTGATCCCCTCACTCTCCAGACCCCAGTTCAAGCCCCTACCTCCTCCATGAACCCTCTCATTTCTCCTCAACGTGCATCATATTTCCCAGCGCTAATTTCATACGACAATTCAGACAATATCATCGTATTTGGCGTTTATGTTCAAAAGCCCCAGACACCTTGGCTCAATCCCTGTCTCTGTCCTTCTCACTGAGCCAACCTGAGAAAGTTACTCTGCTCCTCTGGCTTCGTCCTCTTTTCTGTAAATGAGAAAATCCAACTAGTGGTCCCCACGGGTCCCTCTTGCTATAACCTTCTGAGATGTGCTGATTCTGTGTGCGCACGAGGCTGGCCTCTCCTACCTGACTACGAGTTGGGGTGGGAAAGAGCCACCGTAAACAACTTTTTCCTAGTCTCTTCCAGCATGTCTGGCCCACAGGATGGGAGGGCATCCAGCACATGGTTTTGGAGTCGGACAGATCCAAGTTGAGGGGCTGGCATCAGTGCTTCCTAGCTTTACAACTCTGAATGAGCTCCTCCCTTCTCTGAGCCTGTCTGTTCATCAGTGAAATGGAAACGCACAGCTGCCTCACATGCTGAAAGCTCAGGGGAAGCCCCAGCTGCGCAGTGTGGTCGGCACAGCATCCGACGTAAGGTCAGCATTCGCGGTGCCTTTTTTCCCACCAGTAAACTGCTGATCTGACTCAGGACTCTTAAAAAGCCTCCACTCTTCTGGGTGTTGAAAACCACTGGGGTGTGGCTGGAATCAGTTCTAATTACTCCTTGGGGGGGGGGCCTACAAAAGGAGAAGGCTTGGTGGGGGGGCCCGGGGAGGCCAGGTGGGGAGGCCGAGGATGGAGGACAGCACTGACTGGCTTCTCAGGACTTACTCCTTGGTGAGGATGTTGATGGGGTACAGGACCGGGATGCTGGTGGTGGCGGAGTTGTCCTTCAAGAGGTCCGGGTCTTCATTTTGACTGCGTTGGGGCAAGGCAGAAGGCAGTGTTAGGAGAAGGGCTTGGCCAGGGCCAGGCGGCAGTCTGAGAGCAGGGCAGGTACGCTGGTGGGGGCCTGCCGGGGGGCTGCTCACCAGCTCACACTGGCGCGCAGCTCGACGAAGTCCCCCCAGGAGCTGTTCAGCAGCGTGTGGAACATCACCTGGATGGTGACCTGGGAGGGGAGGAGAGGGGAATGAAGCACCTCATGGCCCGCATGCCCAACTGCTATAATAACAGAGGCCACTGTTGCTTATCCCTGAAAATAGGTGTTTCATCCCCACTGCACAGATGAGGAGATACGAAGTCCCAAATGGTTAAGTCCCACGCGTAAGGTTTGTCTGATTCCAAAGTCCAGGCTGTCATTCCCTTTGGGGTCAGAGGCTTGGTGAGCCCTTCTTTACCATCACCTGCACCCTTCCTTCCGCACGTGAGCTCATAGCCCCTTGGTGGCTCGGTTCCTAGGGGCGTAAAGCACTCACCAAGCTGCCCGCTTTAAAGATTGGAGGGCTCACTTTGCAGGAGAGGGTCCTGGTCGGAACCTTGGATTCCTCAGGAAGCTCCTCGCAGCTCACAGGCATCTGGCTGTGGGGCTGGGCATGAAAAGAGAAAGAACAAACTTCTTAGTGGGCCAGACTAAGGTTCCCAGAGGCCACCAACACTCTGGGGCCACGTTCCCCAGCTGTATCCCTGCCAGGGCACATTCTTAGAGAGGCGGAGCCAAAGTTTAGCTCAAAGATGTTCACTGCAACAGTATTTATAATCGTGAAAAACTAGAAGGGATCAAACAGTTCAAAGAGACAGGAATGGTTCCATGTGTTGTACAATAACAGTGAGATTGTTAACATGCTACTACGTCTATATGGTCAGCAACCATTGTTTATTTAGTTTTTAAGTGTTTATTTCTTTATTTTGAGAGAAGAGTAAGTGGGGAAGGGGTAGAGAGAGAGAGAGGCAGAGAGAAACTCTGTGCTGGCAGTGTAGAGCCTGAAACGAGGCTCTGACTCATGAACCGTGAGATCATGACCTGAGCTGAAATCAAGAGTCAGATGCTTAACCGACTGAGCCTCCCAGGAGCCCTGTCAGCAATCGTTTTAAAAATGAGCTTGCTTCTGGGCTAAGCAGCCTAAAACCAGTCATTTTCATCATCTATAAGGACAGATTTCAGCCTCAAGTTGGGAATGGAATTAGACAGGGAGATAGAGGCTTGGGAAGTTCAGTGACTTCCCCAAGTCCCACCCCAGGGTAATCTGGCAGGATCTAGAAGAAATCTGAACACAGGTCTGTTTGATTCCAGATCTCAAGTTCTTAATCACTCTACCAGATGCCTCTTACGGAAGCATTTAATGTGACTGTATAAAGAATAATTCAAATGTCCATTGACAGATGACCAGATAAACAAAATATGGTCGATCCATACGATGGGATACTATTGAGTCCTAAAAAGAAAGGAAATTCACACATGCTGTCATATGGATGAAACTCACAAGCACTATGCTAAGCGAAGAAGACAGACACAAAAGGACAATACTGTACGATTCCACTTCCGTGAAAAATCTAGAATAGGCAAATTCATAAAAACGGGACGTGGTTTGAGATGACAGAAAAGTTCTGCAAATTGGTGATGGATTGTACAACATTGTACTTAATGCCACTGAACTGTATGCTTAAAAAAGGCTTAAAAATGGTAACTTTTCTATTACATATATTTTACCATGATAATTTTTTAAAAAACAGAGAAAAATAACCATATGGAGAACAAAATGCCAATTATTTAAAACAAATATAGAATGAATAAATATACAATGTAATTTGTACGTATGTGTAGAGATACACAGAAGGATAAACATCCAAATATTAAAAGTAGTGACTGCTGAGTTATAGAAGAGGTGATTATCTTCTCTAAACTCCTATGTGATTTCCAACTTTCTGTGGTGATCATGTATTATTTATGTAATAACAATTTAAAAATAAAGTTGTATTAAAACAACTTTGGAGCACCTGGGTGGCTCAGTCGGTTAAGCGTCCGACTTTGGCTCAGGTCATGATCTCACAGTTTGTGGGTTTGAGCACTGCATCGAGCTCTGGGCTGACACCTAGCTCAGAGCCTGGAGCCTGTCTTCGGATTCTGTATCTCTCTCTCTGACCCTCCCCTGCTAGTGCTGTCTCTCTCTGACTCTCAAAAATAAATAAAAAACATTAAAAAAATTTAAAACAGCTTAAAAATTTTTTAAAGTTTACTTATTTATTTTGGGAGAGACAGAGACAGTATGAGCAGGGAAGGGGCAGAGAAAAAGGGAGAGACAGAATCCCAAGTAGGCTCTGATTGCCAGTGCTGAGCCCGTCGCAGAGTTTGAACTCATGAAATGTGAGATTTAAAACAACTTTTAAATACAGGTGAAGGGGTGCCTGGATGGCTCAGTCGGTTAAGCTCCCAACTCTTGTTTTCAGTTGAGGTCATGTCATGGTTTGTAAGATCGAGCCCTGTGTCAGGCTCTGTGCTGACAGTGTGGAGCCTGCTTGGGATTCCCTCTCTCCCTCTCTCTCTGCCACTCCCCCGCTCATGCTCCTTCTCTCAAAATAAATAAATAAACAAAAATAAGATAAGATAAGAAAAGATAAAATAATAAAATAAAATAAAATAAAATAAAATAAAATAAAATAAAATAAAATAGAATCAATCCAGGCCACCCTGCAAAAACATTTTGGTCACCTTTAGGAGAGAGGGACTTTGAGTTTACTATATCTATGCACACCTTCTTGGTCACCAGATCCACAAGCCTCTGTCACACTCTCCATTCCATGTGACCCCCTCACTAAGCCTGTGGGGGTCCCTAGTCTCACTGATTTCAGGATCCGAGGCCCACAGAGGGTCAACCTTGTGTTGCAGGCACAGCCTGAGGGTGGTCATCAGGCTGAAAAGCTGGACATGGTCCTAAAGTTTCTGCATGCCAGCTGCCGCCCACCTCTTCAGGCTGTCTTGTCCCCTCCACCCCCCCTCGAGGTTCCTGAAGGAGAGCAGAAGCTGCAGGCACCAGTGTGGCCTCGGCAGGCCCGTCCTTGGCACTCACCTCGAGGATCTCCACTTTGCGGAAGGAGAGCCCCTGGGGGAAGCTCAGGCTGAGCTGGACCGAGTAAGCGTCTTCTCTCAAGTTGCTCAGTGTCAGCCCCACGGAGAGGCTGGCAGACGGGGTCAGGCGCAGGACTCTGGATCTGGGGGCGAGACCAGGGAAAAGTTACAGGGGCCAAGGTGAGGGAAGCAGGGTCACAGGCAGGGGCTTTCAGGACGCATGGATCTGCTAGGCTAGAAAAAATGAATACACAAAAGTCAGCCCTTGTGCACAGGCTTTCAGTGGTGTGACCTCATCTCCTCCTGCCTGGAGTGAACAAGGGACTTGAATTTCTCAGAGAGGGGGCGAAGTCCCAGATCTAGTCTCACAGATCTAGTGAGTACAGACAGGGGTCTTCTGACTCGAAGCCCCTTGTTCTTCCCAGCACACAGGAGCTGCCTCAGGAAAACACCAGCTGCAACAGGAGGGCCCGGGGGCGGGCAGCCTCACCCTGCAGGGGAGAAGGACAGCCTCAGGTCTGCTTCACACTCCTTGTCTTCCCCGCAGTTCTTCTCGAAAGGGATCTGAAAAGCCAAGAAGACAGACCAGGAGGCTCAGGCCCCAGACCCAGTGTGGGCGGACCCTGGCCTCTCCGGCTGCCCCTCGTCCCCGCCTACCTCCTTGGTCTCTGTGTGTGGTAAGGGTCTCAGGATGGGCTGGATGTCCTCGCCCTGCTGGGCACGGAGCGGTGGGAGGGCCGGGAGACAAGACAGGTTAGTTGAGACAGCAGCACTCTTGAAGGAGGGCTGGAAGGAGGGCTCAGGGCTTGGGGCTCAGCTGCGCTGGCTTGGCTGGCTCCTTCTTGGAGCTAACATCCGTCCCAGGGGGACCCCACCCTCCTGACTCGGCCCAAGGCCACCTGTGTGGCCCTCGGGCGGCAGCTCCTCGAGAGAGGCCGAGGCCCAGGGTGTCCGTTCTCCTGTACAGGAGATCTTGGCCTTGACAAAGCAGCTCCAAAGCTCCTCCCAGCCCCTCTCCTTCCCTGGCCTCGCCTGCCTATGATTGGCTCTTACTGGGCTTCTCCTCTGCGAACCCCATCTCCCCTCTGAAAAGCTCTGCATCTCTTCTCAGATCAAGGCCAGTTTCGCCCAACATTTCCAGGGCTTCTGCTCCAGCCCAGGCCCTGTTCCGGGCACCGGGTACACACCCAAGGACAAAAGAGACACATTGCACTGTGTGTGCCCCCTGTCTGGTGGGAGAAATGACGTGGCAGCTTCAAGTGTCTTATGGGACAAGTACAGGGTATATTCAGAGCAGGTAGAAGCAAATCCTACCCCCCACATGGGGATCAGGGAAGCTTCCTGAAGAAACAGATCTCAACTGAAATCTAAAGGATGAGCAGGAGAGAGCCAGACGAAGAGAATGGAGAGGGGCAAGAAAGGATGGCCCAACACAAAAGGCCCGAGGCAGGGGGGGTGTGACTGCGGCAGGAAAATGTGCAAACGGGCCCGCTGTGCTGTGTGATGGGGGCAAGAGACAGAAGCAGGGTCCAGGTTCCCGTGGGCCTTGCAAGCCACGATCGAGAGTTGGGACTTTATCCTGAGGCTAACGGGGTCATAGAAGTGTTTATGAGTTATAAGCTGAATGTTCTAGAAGGACTCCAGCCTCCACTTCCAGGCCCCCTGCCAAATAACCACCAGACTCCTGAGTCCCAGCAGCATCTGCTGACTGCTCCCGCCTACCCTCAACAGATTCCTGCGACCCACTAGACTGCAGCCAGTCCCCAAATGGGCATTCTGGGTTTCTGTCTGGCTCAGCTGTCCTTCTACCAGAAGCTAATCCCATCTCTCCATTTCCCTTGAATGTACCACTATACCTTTCCTTATGCTGTTTCCCCTGCCTCTCCTCAATCCACCTACCCAAAGGCTACTCATTCTGCAAGATCCAGAACCAACGATACTCCCCCCAGGAAGTCTTTCTTGTCAACTCTGAGCTCAGATCTCTTTTTTACCCTGAGTTCCTACTCCACATAGCTTGGCTTAAAAAAAAAAAAAATTGGGGCATCTGGGTGGTGCAGTTGGTTTAGCGTAAGGCTCTTGATTTCGGCTCAGGTCATGATCTCCCAGTTCATGAGTTCAGGCCTTGCATCAACTCTGGGCTGGTGTTGTGGAAGCTGCTTGGCATTCTGTCTCTCCTTCTCTCTGCCCCTCTCCTGCTTGTGCTCAAGTTCTCTCACTCACTCTCTCAAAATAAATAAACTTGAAAAAAAAATAGTGCCAATGGCAGAGGCTGCTGGCTGTCTCCATATGTCCTTCCTCACTACCTGTCCTTAGTCTCCACTTTTTATCTGGTCATATGGCCACCTGGAGAGGAGACTGCACTTCTTAATCTCCCTTCTAGTTAGGTGTGGCCCTGTGACCAACTTCTGACCAATAAGATGTAAGGGTAAGCATCAGGTGGATTTCTAGGAACTACGGTTTTTTTTGTTAAATGTTTATTTTTGAGAGAGACAGAGCATGAGTTGGGGAAGAGCAGACAGACAGACAGACAGACACACACACACAGAATCCAAAACAGGTTCTAGGCTCCAAGCTGTCAGGCGCAGAGCCTGACGCAGGGCTCAAACTCACTAACCGGGAGTTCATGACCTGAGCTGAAGTCCGACGCTTAACTGACTGCACCACCCAGGCACCCTTTGGGAACCAGACTTAAAGGGAAGGGGTGTGATCTTCCACCCTCTCTCATGCGCTGTGCTCCCAACACCCACAAGCTCTGACGTCTTTATTGCCTGTGCTCACACTATGCCTTCTTTCCAAATGTCCCTCCCTTTTCTACCGGGGGACTTTAAGGGTCCTGTCTTGTGGGAAGACTTTCCTTATCCCCGAAACATGTGGCATAAGACTGTACTGCCACCCTGTATCTAACTTTACCACAGTCTTATCACAGCATGTTGTAACTTGACTCCTCTGGCGTCCAGAGCAGACTATGAACCCCTTCCGGGGAGGGATCGTGTGTTATCTTCTCCAGTGGCGCTAGTGCCCCGAATAGAGCCTAGCACAGGCAGGTGCTCCAGCAACTTTCCTTAAGTGCATGATGAGCATCCGGTGGGTGGGGGCTTTAATTTTTATGAGCATGTCACTGTTCTCTCCAAATCCCAGGAGAGTGAGCATGCGTGGGGGCACGCTCAGCGCACGCGGCCAAACGCCATGAGAAAGAGTACACTTAGCAGCCACTGCGCTCCAGCTCTGGAAGAGGCCTCACAACGTCGGGACTTCTTTTATAGATGGGGACGCAGTCCCAGAAAGGGACGGAACCTACTCACATGCTCATGCCAAGAAAAACAAATCCACATTTTCAGGCTGGCGGGCCTGGCTCTTTCCACCAGACCCTGCTGCCTCCAGACAGAAGTAAACCACCCGCTGAGTGTCAAGGATTTGAGGAGACGAATCTGGCTTTGGTCTGGGTGGGGAGCATGTAGTCCAGCAGAGGGTAGATACTGTTTTCCTCTTCTTTGACACAAGGACACTCCAGTTTGGCTTTGAGGGAACTACCTGCTCGAAACTGAATATGTGTGGGCGGGAAGGCGGATTAGGGTGCCCTGTCCTCCCACGAATAAGGCTAAGCGGGGTGCGTGTCCTCCCTGGGGTTTACACGTTGAGCCGGTGCTAGGAGCCTGGTGAGGTCTGACGCTGAAGCTTGGCAGGGACCTGGAGCAGATTCACTGAAGGGGCCGTGCCCGGAAGAGGCCATCCACTATTCCTTCCCCTCAAGACCTTCCCTTCTTCCCAGTCTTGCTTTGCCAAATACAAGCTCCCATACGTTCCCTTTCTGCTGAAACAAGCTGTATTTGGTTTCTGTTACTTAAAACCAAAGACTCCTTTATAATACAGTCTTGCTAAACTGCAATTCTACTGTCCCCTGCTCCCTATCTATTCCCCCTCGGTGATCTCTTCTTACCACCCTTTGGTCCCTCGGTGTCCCTTCTTCTTCCAAGAGAGAGAAATTTAGGGAGACGTTGATGGGAGAGATGAGGTCTTGAATGCACACCTGAGGGTAATGAGAATACCACCTGTGCTGTGAGTTTAACCTTCCAGTTAAATGCTCACCTTGTCCATACTTTACAAATGATGAGGTTTTAGTATCTGAGTATCTAGTATCTAGTATGTTTATCATACGTCCGAGGTCACTTCTCAGTACGAGTGTCACCCTCAGCCCCAATTCCCATGGCAGACATCGCTAATCAACCACCTCACTTTTCCACCAAGTCCCGACCAGAGCCCCTGAATCGCTGTCAGGCCACTCTAGGCAGCCATTATCGAAGTTTACACAAGAAAAGAATATTCTAGAATAACTAGAATATCCTAGTTCCTCGAGAACAGAGTTGGGGGTTGGCCTTTTATGTTATTACTGGTCCCTCACAGTGGCACCTTTGTAGGCACTCAAATCATCTTTACCTGAATTCCTACCAGCCCAAAGAGGCAGGCGTTATTATTCCCACGTTAGAGATGAGGAGAATGGGGTGGAAAAGGATGACCCAAGTTTCCTAAGGACTTGCACTAGGAAGTGAGCCCAAATCCGTCCAATTCCCAAGGCTAAGATCTTCCCATCACGACACACGGCCTCTTCTCAGATTTATGTTGAAAATTTCCAAATCTTCTGCGGGGATGGTGCAAGGACACAGAGGGGAACTGAGTGGAGGTATGAACGAGCTAAGGCAGCGAGCTTGAATTGTTGACACTGGGCAATGGGTATTTGGGGGTTTGCTTAGCGATTTTTCCCTGCTTTTAGAGATTTGAAACTTCCCATAACAAAAAATTTAAAACAAATCTCAAAATCTTATACACCCATCCCATACTCAGTCTCTGAAATATTTAAAAGATCAAAAGAATTTACCATCATCCCCACTTTACACAGGACTGTTAGAAGCAAAAAGAATTTGGGTATTATGGCAGTTGTTCAAACTAATACTTAAAAAAACAACCTTTTGGGGTGCCTGGGTGGCTCAGTCGGTTAAGCGTCCGACTTCAGCTCAGGTCATGATCTCACGGTTTGTGGGTTCGAGCCCCACGTCGGTCTCTGTGCTGACGGCTCAGAGCCTGGAGCCTGCTTTGGATTCTGTGTCTCCCTCTCTCTCTGACCCTCCCCTGCTCACGCTGTCTCTCTGTCTCTCTCTCAGAAATAAATAAAACACTAAAAAAAAAAAGAAACCAACCTTTTTTTGCGATGGATGAGAGTAATAAATGACCATGTATACCTGGCAAGGACGCATCACGTGATTGAATATTCTGCAGCTATTAAAACAATTATGAAAAGCTGGATAGCAGCATTGATATATGATGGGTGGAAAAAGGGGGAAAATGGGAAGTATTTTACAATGGTAATTATGTTGAAAACACCAATGTACCTAGATTAAGGACTAGAGAAAGTATGTTAACGGTATTATTACCACTATTACACAGTCAAGGGAATGATAGTATAGACAGATGCAAGAGGCTTGTGACCCAGTTGGACGTGACTGAGCTGAACCTTGCTCCCAGTGCCTCCTGTCACTGTGGTTAGCTCTGTGGCCCCCTCACTTCCCAGAGCAGCCCCAAGGCTCCCTTACCGGGAAGTGGAACCAGAACTTGTCGCAGGACTTGGTTTGGGTGACCTCCATGTTCCTGCTGAGTTCACGTCTACCTCCTGGGAACAGCCCCCGGCTTCTGGTCCGATGGCCATCCAGCTGCAGAGTGTAAGTGAGGGTGGAAGCCAGGCGCCCTGGGCAGGGTGAAAAGGCAGGAGTTGGATGGTGGCAGATCCTGGGGCCGCGAGCCTGCATTTAGGGCACGCAGCTGCTCTGGGGAGCAGGGAAGGGCACTGACCTTGAAACTGGTGGGTAATAGGCTCGATCTGGAAACAGACTGTGATGTTGACCCCTTCTTTCTGCTGGATACTGGTTGAATAGGAGCATTCCACTTCATGCACTGGGATCTCAGCCGGGGAGAAGGACATCAGAGTGAGGACATCCACTACAGGCCGGGAGCTGCGGGGCACGAAACAACCAGCTCTCTCCCTCGGCCTCAATTGCAATCCCCAGTCAGACCCGGGGCTCCATCTACCAGGGGCCAGAGGACCCTCCTTCCTGAAAGGAAGCAGACCTCAAGGTCCCTGTCTCCTTGAAATGGTAACAATAATCATAATTCACTAGGGCTTTCCAGTTTCTTCTAGCAGCCTTTTGATTCATTTTCCATAGAGAAGAGTGAGCTTTTAGAAAGAGAAATCATAATGAGCTACTTCCACGCTGATAACCCTTCACTGATGCCACATAATATTCAGAATAAAATCCAAACTTGTTACTACCGGTTCCACGCTGGCTGCCTCTCCACTCTAATTTCCTCCCACTCTCCCTTGGCTGACGTTCCAGCCAAGTCAGACTTTTGCCTCCCTTACCGCCTTGGCACATCCTGCGCTTTCTACCTAGAAAGCTCTTATCCCAGATTTCTGCAGGCCTGGCTCCTTCTCATCTTTCAAGTCCCCGCTCAAATATCACCTCCTCAGAGAGGCCTTTCTTGGCCACCCAATCTAGCGGCTCTCCCACAGAACACTCTTCACTTCCCCCTGCGCTTCCCCAGTTTGCAATCACCTACTTGCGTGTTTAGCTTTGTATTCTATGTTTCCCCACCTATACACTCTGTACCCAGGGCTTGGTTCAGCATTAAGACACAGCAGGTGCTGGTGCGTTCGGGCGGCTCAGTCAGTTGAGCATCCGACTTCAGCTCAGCTCGTGATCTCGCAGTTCGTGGGTTCGGGCCCCACATCAGGCTCGTTGCTGTCAGCCTGTCAGCACAGAGCCCACTTCGGATCCTGTCCCCCTATCTCTGCCCCTCCCCCACTTGCGATCTCCCTGCCTCCTCAGCAAGTGCTCAGTAAACGTCTATTGACTATATGATGTTACATGATGCCTCCAATAACTCTTAAGATATGGTCAAGGCAGGAAATGTCTTCACCACTTCAAAGATGAGGAAACTGAGGTCCTGAGAAGCTAAGTGACTGGGATACAATCATCCAAGAAGTAAATGGCAGAGCTTTGACCTGAATCCAGGTGACCAGGTTCTCAAGCCATCACAGGATCTTTAATGTCACATAGGCCTGGGTTCAAATCTGTCTGTCACTGAATTATAGCTGTTTTTTTTTTAAAGAATTAAAAACATTAAAAAAATTTTTTTTAATGTTTTATTTATTTCTGAGAGAGAGAGAGAAAGAGAGAGACAGTGTGAGCAAGGGAGGGTCAGAGAGAGAGGGAGATATAGAATCTGAAACAGCCTCCAGGCTCTGAGCTAGCTGTCAGCACAGAGCCCAATGCGGGGCTCGAACCCACAAACTGTGAGATCATGACCTGAGCCAAAGTTGGATGCTTAAGCGACTGAGCCACCCAGGTGCCCCTAAAAACATTTTTTTAATGTTTTAATTTATTTTTGGGTGAGAGACAGAGCATGAATGGGGGAGGAGCACAGAGAGAGGGGGACACAGAATCTGAAGCAGGATCTGAGCTGTCAGCACAGAGTCCCATGTGGGGCTCGAACTCCTAGACTATGAAATCATGACCTGAACCAAAGTCAGACGCTTAACTGACTGAGCCACCAGGTGCCCTGAATTGTAGCCATTTAAACTGGAGTAAGACATGAAGACTGTATAGGAAGGTAACCTATGTGACAGGGTTGGGGGAAGACCAAATGAGTCCTACTATATAGTAACTGCTCAAAGGATGAGAGCAGAGATGATTAGCAGTCTCATCTTACCTGAGCACAATCACCTGCCCTTCTGCTCCCACAGCCACATCTGTCAGGCCATCTCCTCCAAGGTCTTTTACCCCATGAATGGAGCGTCCAAACCATCGAATTCCTGAGAACACCTGGGTCCCTTCTATCCTCTGAGACCAAGAGAAAAATTCACGCTAAGCTAGGGAGAGGATAGGCCAGAGGGTGGGAAGAGTCAGGCTGCAGAGTGTGGTCTGGGCCTGGAGGCTTCTGGGTGCCTGGGGAGGGGTTTTGATTGGCAGGCAGGGCACCTCTCACCTGGCTCGGCTGAGGGCTCAGCCCACCATGCTGCCCGTTGAAGATGTACACGGCCCCCTGCCCCTCCAGAGGGGCCCCCACAGCCACGTCCACCAGATTGTCCCCGTTGATGTCGGTCAGGGCCGTGATCGCAGCTCCAAATCGCCCCAGAGGGTAGCCAGGATCCCCCTGCAGCTCTGAGACCACTTCGAACCCCATCTGGGAAGGAGCAAAGTGACAGGTCACTCAGTCACTCAGCAAGCGTTCGCAGGAAGAACGCTAAAGAAAGGTCAGACATGGTCCCTCACAGAATCGGTAGGGTGGCGGCAGACTCACCTGGGCTCAGGTCCCAGCTCCACCCCTTGCGGCCTATGTGACCTCGGGGCTTTGGAAAGCGACCCAGCCTTGCTGAGCCACAAGGCTCCCATTTATGAAAAAAAAGCTCTGAGCTACTCGGAAGGTGACTTGGAGGACCAAATGAGGTCTCGTGTAAATAGAAGGTTTGGGACTGAGTCTTGCACGCGGCCCATCCCCCACTGAGTATCAGCGATTGTTTCTGGGTTGTTCTAAAGATCTGATTCTCCGTGATCAGACAGGGAAAGCCTTTCAGAACAGCTGGGACCTGGGTCGGCCTGGGGATCTGTTTCTCCTACCCCTTCAGGTCAGTGTCTTGGTCCCCACCTGTTTTCTCTGGTAGACAAACACCCTGCCTCCCCTCTGCTCCCCATAGAACAGGGGGGCTCCAATCAGCAGCAGCTCTGTGTCCCCATCTTGGTCCACATCAACGCCACACAGCTCGCCACCGAAATAAGAGCCAATCTGCAGGGAGAAGAACATGTTTGAGGAAGCACCTGTGAGCTGGACACCTCCCTCCCCTCAGCTGTACCATGTCCGTCTTACTCCAACCGCTCACATGAAGGTTGACATTGTGGATTCCCCCCACCCCCCAAGCACCTGTATGAATTAGGACAAGGTGGGCTCTCTGAGGCTCAGTTTCTTAAACTGCAAAGCGGAGCTGATAAAGCTTACCTCAGAGAGCTTTGTGAGGACTGAACGTGACAGTGCTTGGCACAGGGCCTGCCAGCAGACCGCAGGGGGTGTAACCAGTGCCACATGGGTCCCTGATCCCCTAGGGCCACGCTCACCTGGATCCCATCTATTTTCTGGACCTGCCTCCAGTGTTCTCTGCCCCTTAGCTCCTGGAACAGCAGCACCCGCCCCACATGCTGGTATCGGGGGGCTCCAGCCGCCAGCAGCGGTGTGGATGCGAACGTTCTGGAGGGCAGCCAGGTCACAGTGTAACCTGAGGGGGGTGTTGGGGGGGGAGAGAGAGAATGAGAGAATGGAAGGGCGGTGGTGCTTGGAATTAGAAACACAATGGCTGCTTCAGGAAGGTAAAACCCAAGGGCAAACAGAGGCTCTGGAAAACTGGGTTAGTAGCAAAGATACATTGAAGCAGCCAGACGACCTTCTCCTGAGCAAAGCAGCCATATGCTTCTAGTGGCACAAATCCTGCCATCTTGGTCTTTTTTCTTTCTTTCTTTTTTTTAATGTATATATATTTTTCTTTCTTTCTTTCTTTTTTTTTTGTTTTATTTACTTCTAGGAGAGAGAGACAGCGCAAGCAGGGGAGGGTCAGAGAGAGAGGGAGTCACAGACTGAAACAGGCTCCAGGCTCTGAGCTGGCAGTCAGCACAGAGCCCGACGCGGGGCTCGAACCCACGAACCGCGAGATCATGACCCAAGCGAAAGTCGGACGCTTAACCGACTAAGCCACCCAGACGCCCCTATTTTTATTTATTTCTAAGAGAGAGAGAGAGAGAGAGAGAGAGACAGCGTGAGCAGGGGAGGGTCAGAGAGAGAGGGAGATACAGACTCTGAAATAGGCTCCAGGCTCTGAGCTGGCAGTCAGCACAGAGCCCGACGCGGGGCTCGAACCCACGAACCGCGAGATCATGACCTAAGCGAAAGTCAGACGCTTAACCAACTAAGCCACCCAGGCGCCCCAATCTTGGTCTTTTTTCAAACTGTGGACAACATGCAAGAGAAAGCAGCCACGTACAACAGGGTAACCGTGGTGCATCTTCCTGAGGCTCAGGGGACCTGAGGCTGGTAAGGGAGACTACATGTTTGACTTCTTTTTTTTCCTTTGTTTTTTTGTTTTGTTTTGAGAGAGAGAGAGAGAGAGAGAGAGATCTAGAGCAGAGGAGGGGCAGAGAGAGAGGAAGAGAGAGAGAGAATCCTAACCAGTACAGAGCCCAACACGGGGCTCCATCTCACAAACTGTGAGCTCATGACCTGCGCCAAGATCAAGAGTCAGACGCTTAACCGCCAGAGGCACCCAGGCGCCCCTACACTTCTTAAAAATAATAAAGTAAAATAAGATATACTAGTAAGAAGAATGCAAGATCTGCCTGAATATTAAAAATAGAGCAGGAGACTTGAAAAAACTTTGTTTAAAGTTATCACTCCAGGTTATCTTCCTACTTCACAGCTAGTGTGTGTGGCAAGGTTCTTCGGTCGTTACCCATTGCCAGAATGTTCTGAGGAAATGCTGCAGGAAACTGGACCAGGGATTGGGCTTGAGTCAGGACCCACCCAATAGGAATGCTCTGATTCAAGAGACAGCTAACTGACCCAATTTCATATTCTGAGCTTAGAGTAGTTGCAAATGAGTGAGAAAAATAAAGACAACCGAGACGATACGGCACAGACGGGAAGGGTGAAGAGGCTGAACCACTTTCCCATTGATTCGTGTACTTCCTGAAGCACAGGCGTTAGGAACTTGCCCTTTGAAATCAGAGAGACGAGGTTATTATTCCTTGTGCTGATAATTCCTAGATGTGTGATCTTGAGTCAATTACGCCTCACCACTGAGCCTCAGTTTTCTCATCTAAATAATGGGGAAGTACCAACCTCATAAGGTGGTTTTGAGGATCGAAGAAGATCATGGATATAAAATGCTTAGCACTACGCTAGTGATATCTAAACTAAGATCTGAAGGATAAGAGCATCACAGGCACCCAAGATCATATTTATTTTTTATTTTTATTTTTTTAGCAGGGGTTGAATGTTTTTCTTTTTTTCTTTTCTTCTTTTTGAAGTATAGTTGGTACAAGGTTATATATATACAATCATATACCTATATATACATATAATATATATATATACATATATAGTCATATCCTTCTCTCCCTCCCTTTCTCTCTCTTTATATATATATACACACACACACACACACATATGCGCATATATGCGCGCAGTGTGTGTGTGTGTGTGTGTGTGTGTGTCTAGTGGGACAGGTGCCTGACTAAAGATTAAAGATTAAACTTCGGTTTATTTCTTCTTCAGCGAGCAACGCCACCGGCTAGCTTGCAATATACTGGGGGACACAAAGCCCTCTGAAGGAGCTAGGGTAGAAGCTATAGTGTAAATGTGGTGGTTACTAGCACAGACTTTGAGGCTCCACCACCTGGGCTCCACCTACTAGTACTGTGACCCTGGGCAAGTTATTTATAACTCTCCTGGGCTCAGTTCCTTCAACTCTAAAATAGACATAATAAAAATACTTGCAGTGTTGTTGTAAGAATAAAATCAGATAAAATAAGATAAAATAACTTAATACATTCCATGCACTGATGCCTAATGCCCCAATGCATATGGCTCTGTTGGTTGAATATCCAACTTTTTAAAAAATGTTTGTTTATTTTTGAGAGAGAAGGAAAGAGAGAGAGAGGAGGGGCTGAAAGAGAGGGAGGCACAGAATCCAAAGCATGCTCCAGGCTCTGAGTTGTCAGCACAGGGTCTGACGTGGGGCTTGAACTCATGAACGATGAGATCATGACCTGAGCAGAAGTCGAATGCTTAACCGACTGAGCCACCCAGGTGCCCTGAGCATCAAACTCTTGATTTTGGCTCAGGTCATGATCCCAGGGTTGTAGGATTGAGCGCTGCATCGGGTGCCACACTGAGCATGAGCCTGCTTAAGATTCTCTTTCTCTCTCTCCCCCTCTCCCCAACACACCTACTCACATGCTCTCTCTCTCTCAAATAAAAATAAGGAAAACACAAAAAAAAACAGTGCCTGGCACATAATACTTACTCAGTAAAGAATGTCAAAAAGAAAAAAAAAATTATGGAGGGCAACCTCCATTAGAAGGGTAGATGAAAGGGGCACCTGGGTGGCTCAGTTGGATGAGCGTCCAACTTCAGCTCAGGTCATGATATCACTATTTGTGGGTTCGAGCCCTGCATTGGGGCTCTGTGCTGATAGCTCAGAGCCTTGAGCCTACTTCAGATTCTGTGTCTCCCTCTCTCTCTGCCTCTCCCCTGTTCTTATTCTGTCTCTGTCTCTCTCTCTCTCAAAAATAAAATAAACACTGAATCCTCTTTAAAGAAAAGAAGGGTAGATGATCGGCACTAATTTTCCCAAGGAAATTATGCAATAAGGTCTTTGTGTTCCACAAGTTTAATAAAGGAGTGGCCCACCCATATACAGGGGTCATGGATGAGGCAGGGAGAGGGGGATTCTAGATCTATGAGAAGGGAGATCCTGGAAGCAGTCCTATCCGGGGGCTCTTGGAGCCAGTTTGTGTCTTGACACAGGGTGACTCTATGAGCGTGAGCTAGGAGAGCTATGACCCCTGTCCACAAGGGTGAGGCCCCTCTGCAGCCTGAGACCGGCATGCCCTTGGGTGGGCAAGCCTCTGCAGAACTGTGCAGGACAAGATCACAACAGTGACACCATGCGGCAGAGAGCTGCAACGGCAACTGTGGACTGGCCAGGCGTGTTGGCTCTGAGCTTGGCATCTGAAGAACTCTTGAGACTAAATCAATTCCTGGATAATTCAAGAGGGGGAAGCCTCAAGGAGGACCTGCTGGTCCCCCTCCTAATGAGGCAGGTTGCTATAAACCGTACCCGGGATTCAATTCATGGGTAAGACAGAAAGATGACCCAGAGAGGTCGCCGCCATTGAAAGAAGTTTATTACGCCTGGGTCTCCACAGCAGGAGGCATCGGCCCAGCAGGCCATGCAAGACCATGTGGCAGGAGTACCAGGGCCAGTGAGGAGGCAGAAGGAGAGAGAAGAGTATGGCCCGGAGCCCTTACTGTTGTTTTGGTAGGAAGGAACTAGTGAGGTAGCGTGGGCCAGCTGGAGCAAGCTCAGGCTGGGACAGTTTGAACCATGTTGGCCGGCTCTGGCCTACGGGGCTGCTCCTTAGCTGACTAGAGATTCAGGTCAGGGGCAATACTGGCTTGGTGTGTGAGAGTTAAGGTAAACTTAAGTTAAGGAGGTGGTTGGGGATGCGGCTCAGGGCTGGCTGGCTGGCATGTGGAAGGCCTGCTTACAGGCCACTTGTTTACTCTCTGAAGGAACTTGCTAGCCCTGGGAGGGGTAAGCTCTCCAGGATTCGCGAGGCTTCAAGATGACCAAGCATCAGGGATGCCTGGGTGGCTCAGTCAGTTAAGCATCTGACTGGCTCAGGTCATGATCTCACGGTTTCTGAGTTCGAGCCTTGCATCTGGCTCTGTGCTGACAGCTCAGAGTCTGGAGCCTGGTTTGGATTCTGTGTCTCTCTCTCCCCCTCCCCCTCTTTCACACGTGCACGTGCTCTCTTTTTCTCTTAAAAATAAATAAACATTAAAAAAAAAAAGATGTCGGGGTGACTGGGTGGTTCAGTCGGTTAAGCGTCTGACTTCGGCTCAGGTCATGATCTTGCGGTGTGTGGGTTCAAGCCCCGTGTTGGCCTCTGTGCTGACAGCTCAGAGCCTGGAGCCTGTTTCGGATTCTGTGTCTCCCTCTCTCTCTGCCCCTCCCCTGCTCACACTCTGTCTCTCTCTGTCTCAAAAATAAATAAACATAAAAAAAAAAAAAAGATGTCTAAGCATCATTAAACACAGAAAATAAAAACATGATTAGTACACAGCAGAGGGGTTATTAAGGGAAATTTTAAGATTGTTACAGCTATATTTAAGCTCTGAGTTTGTTTATGCTGGTCGCTTAATTGCTTTCATTATTTAATGTTTTTTTTTAATGTTTTATTTATTTCTAGGAGAGAGAGAAAGAGATAGTGTGAGCGGGGGGGGGGGGTTCAGAGAGAGAGGGAGTCACAGACTGAAACAGGCTCCAGGCTCTGAGCTGGCAGTCAGCACAGAGCCCAACGTGGGGCTCGAACCCACGAACCACGAGATCATGACCTGAGCCAGAGTCGGACGCTTAACCGACTAAGCCACCCAGGCGCCCCAATTGCTTTCATTATTATTTTGAAAGTTGATCTGACTGACTCTGGCCCCTAAGATCAAAAGAGTCCAGCAGAAAAGAAAAGTACTCACCTAAATATCCTGCTCTTGCTTCTGGTGTCGACGGTTCATTCTCAACAAATGTATCGTCCTGCAGGTTGGCGTCCAGGTCTAAAAAGCCCCCAGCCCAGTCCTTGGCTCCGACTGCCCCCACGACACCATGACCCTGCCCAGGGAAGGAGACAGTGGGCTCAGCCACATTCCCATAATGTCCGCCAGACCTCCCCCCACTCCCCCGCTTCAGGCCGGCCACTCACCTGGCTGAGGTCAGCGCTGATCCCACTGGAGGACAGCTCCATGTTGAAGGATGTCAGGTCCTGTTTGCTTGTGCCTGGAGGACAAGGTAAAGAGAATGGGTGGACACCCAAGGAGCAGCTGGGACAGTGACGCTGGAGAAAGAGTGGAGTAAGAAGCACGGGACCGACCCCCGGACACGGAAGAAAGAACGCACACTATAGTCGGCCTGGGCAGTGACTTAGGCTGAGTGTGAGGTGAAAGTGCCTGAGCCCAGGGCCTGGTACGGCCAAGATGTAGCTCTGGAATTCTGGTTCCCGCTCGGGCTTCCCCACACCGAGGGCTGGAGCCCCCACCCCGCCTGGTGAACCAGACTGATTCGTCCCTTCTCTCTGTTCTTCCTCCAACATGTCACCAAGTCAGGAAGGTTCTACCTTCAGCGCATCTGCCCCCTTCTCCAGATAGTCAGTACTGCCTCCACACGGGTCCAAGCCCCCCTCCTCCCTAGCCTGGCTACTGCAGCAGCCTACATACTTGATCCCTGACTTCCTTCTTCCTCTTGTCATGTCTATTTTCCACAGAGCAAGCTGGAGTAATCTTTTTTTATTTTTTTTAAAGTTTATTTATTTATTTTGAGACAGAGAACGAGCAGGGGAGGGCCAGAGAGAGAAGGAGAGAGAATCCCAAGCAGGCTCTGCACTGACAGCAAGGAGCCCGATGCGGGGCTCAAACTCATGAACCGTGAGATCATGACCTGAGTTGAAACCAAGAGTCGGAGGCTTAACCGACTGAGCCACCAAGGTGCCCCTGGAGTAATCTTTTGAAAAATTGTATATGAGACCACATAGCTCCCTTTCTTAAAAAACTCTTCGTTACTTGCCATGGCTCTTTATTTTTTATTAAAAAAATTTTTTAAGGCTTATTTATTTTTGAGAGATAGAAAGCAGAGTGCGAGTGGGAGGAAAGGCAAAGAAAGAGAGGGAGACACAGAATCCAAGGTGGGCTCCAGGCTCTGAGCTGTCAGCACAGACCCCGATGTGGGGCTCAAACTCATGAATGGTGAGATCATGACCTGAGCCGAAGTCAGCTATTTAACTGACTGAGCCACACTGCCGTCCCTATTTTTTTTTTTTAAGTTTATTTTGAGAGAGAATGCAAGCAGGGGAGAGGCAGAGAGAGAGGGAGAGAGAGAATCCCAAGCAGGCTCTGCACTGTCAGCAGGGAGACCAACGCGGGGCTCAAACCCACAAACCAGGAGATCATGACCTGAGCCTAAATCAAGAGTCAGAAGCTTAACTGACTGAGCCACCCAGGCACTCCTGCCATCACTCTTTAGATTAAAACCCAAGCTTTTTATGGGGAACTGGAAGGCTCTTGCCTACCTCTCCAACCTTCTCTCATTTACACACCACACTCCTAACATGTGACCTTTTTCTCCAGCTACCCGCCCACCCCCTACCTCCGGCCCGGCTTCTCTGATGATAAGGCTCTTTGCCCACAATCCTCACATGGCTGTTTGATTCTCATCTTTTGTGTCTCAGCTCAAATGTCATGTCAGAGTGAATTTTACCATCATTTAAAAAAAAAAAAGGCATCTAGAATGAAAAGCCTGTCTAAAGTGGCTTCCTCCACTTCTCCCCATAAACCTTTCAATCCAGTTTATTCATTTTCGTTACAGCACTTATCATAATCTCTAATTATCCTGTTCGTTTTCTTTCTTTTTTTTTTTTTTTACAAATAGTTTATTGTCAAATTAGTTTCCACATAACACCCAGTGCTCATCCCCCAAAATATGGAACGCTTCACGAATTTGCGCGTCATCCTTGCGCAGGGGCCATGCTAATCTTCTCTGTATCGTTCCAATTTTAGTATATGTGCTGCCGAAGCGAGCACTCGTTTTCTTTCTTTATCCAACCTGAATATGAGCTCCCCGTGGACGATCCCCGAGTTCCTTATTCACGGCCCCTAGTACCCGCTTGGTGCAGGCATGAATTAATAAAATGAAAACCATCCCACCAGCCTTGCAAGGTGGAGCAATGAGTTAAATGATACAGAGAAACTATTACCTGGAAACTTTCAAGAAACACGACTATTACTGTGAAGATTTGTTCATCCTCTTAATAAATATTTATAGCAACTAAAGATTTGGTGCCAGGGACACAACGGTGAAAAGGCAGAGACAACGCTTGCTATGACAGACCTCACAGTGTAGCGTGGGAGGCAGACACGGAGCAGATTTAATACAACGGAAGTCTCAGGGGCCAGGATAGGGAACACACAGCCGTTATCGCGGCCCCCAGCCTAGACTCGAGTTCAGCGAGAGCTCGTCAGAGGCAGTGGCATCTGAAACGCGATCTGGAGCCTTTCTGGCAGTCACGACCTGCCCGCGAGAACATGCCTCTCATGAAGGACCCCCTGCCCCGGTCCCCAGAAGCGGAGGAGAGGAAGCACAAGAAGAAGCACATGGCGCAGAGTCCCAACTCCTACTTCATGGACGCTACAGAATCACCGCCATGTTCAGCCATGTGCAGACGGTGGTGCTGTCTGTGGGCTGCTCCACCCCTGTCCAGCCATAGCAGGACAATGGAGGCTCATGGAAGAATGCTTCTTCAGATGGAAGCAGCACTAAAAGCCCCCCGGGTCAACATGAGTGGGGAACTATCCCAAGAAACAGATTTGGGATAAATAAAATGAAATAAAATAAAATATAAAATAATAAAATAAAATAAATGAAACAAAATAATAAAATAAAACATGATCTGGAGCATGAGGAAGGGCAAGTTAGGATAGAGGATCAGAGCTGCGATTTATACACTGCCTACAAGGTACCAAGCACTCTGCTAAGCAGTGGTTAGGGCCTGAACTCTGTGCTGTAAGAAAAGATATTTTCATGTCCCAACCCCTAGTACTTCAGAACGTGACCTTGTTTGGAAATAAGGTCTTTGCAGTGAAACCAAAGTAAAATGTGGTCACTGGGGTGGGCTTCCAACCAATATGACTGGTGTCCTTATAAAAAAAGGATATTTGGACACAGAGAGACGGACACGCACTCAGAGAAGACAATGTGAAGACAGACACACAGGGAGAAGACGGCCAGCTGGCAAAAGTGATGTGGCTACAAGCCAAGGGATGCCAGGGACTGCGGGAACGCCGCAAGTTAGGAGAGGCAAGGAAGTGCTCTCTTCTAGAACCTTCCGAAAGAGCATATCCCTGCAGAACCCTTGATTTCTGACTTCCGGCCTCCAGGACTGCAAGATGGTAAATTTCTGTTGCTTTAAGCCACTCGGGTTTTGGCACTCTGTTACAGCAGCCCTGGGAAACTAAAACCTTCCAGCACTTTGAGATTGGGATTATCACCGTTCAGCAGAGAATGAGCCTGAGGGAGAGAAACTGACCTGGCTGAGGTCACACAGCACAGTCAAAATAGATATATATTTTTTAAGTTTGTTATTTCTTTGGAGAGAGAGAGAGTAGGGAGGGTCAGAGAGAGAGAGAGAGAGGAAGAGACGGAATCCAAATGAGGCCACACTGTTAGCATGGATCCTGATGAGGGGCTCAAACTCGCGAACCGAGAGATCACGACCTGAGTTAAAATCCGGAGTCAGACACTTAACCAACTGAACCACCCAGGTGCCCTGACAGTGGATTCTTGAGTCCCTTATATATGTGTTGCTTCTTCAACTGAACCGAACTCCAAGCCTGTGTCCTAGCAAACGGGCCCTGCCAGAAAGAATCGTGCACCTTTCAGCAGACTAGATTCCTGGGGAATTACTCTTCCAAAGCAAGTCTTCAAAACCTTTCCTTATTCTGGGCCAAGAAGGCCCGTGGGCTCTCTGCATTCAGCCGCTGCCCGCTTGCCCATCTGAAGTAATTTGAAGATAAGTAAAAACGAGGGAGCTGGGGTGAGGCTAAGGGGCAGAATTATAGTCCTTCCAGAGCCTTCAGCTGACATTAGCAAGGCAGGGGTCAATTCTGGCTCCACCCCAGACCAAGTTGATGGTCTTTCCAAAGAAGACGGTATTTCATAGGGAAACAGAGGCTGGTTTATCTGGGTAAACAACTTCCCGGACTCCCTCTCCCCGGGTCTGCCACTCACCCTCAATGTCATAGATCTTCTTTTGCAGCTCAGTGAACAGATCTTTAAGCTTCTCAAACGTGTCCAGAATCTTTACAAACTCCTTCGCAGGTTTTGAGGCAAATTTGTGGAGCGTTTCCTGACTTTCCTTGGTTTTAAAATGCTTTCCAATCTGTGGGGGAGTGAAGAGTGGAGAGCTGGCATTCCAGAACCACAGACCAATTTTCTAATATTTTCACGAAGCCCTGGCCCCAAGGAGAAAGGGGAGCGGGGTTCGGGAATAGGAGAGGAAAAGATGGGACGAGCCAGGGGCCGGGGCCCATACCCCAATGATGTAGCGGACAGTGTCTTTGGCCGAGTCAATGTTGTTTTCTGGGTCAGTGGCTTCCCCGTCAGTGATGATGATAAGCACTTTGGTGGCATCTGGCCGAGCCCCCCGGTCTTGCTGGAATACCTCTTTCCTGTGTCCAAGAAGGCAGGGGATGTAAAAGACTCCCCCAGATCATGATGTCTCCCCCCGACTCCCCCAATTCATTAAGTCACTGTCCTGCTGATTATGCAAAAGCCCTTCTCCCAGCCCCCAGGCAGGTATTCCAAGCCTTCAAAGGTCTCTGCTGAACCTCCTATGTCGCCCTTGCTGCCACACCTTTCCCCCTGAACCCGTGGTCTCCGACGGAGTTCTGGGCGGCCAGGAGGCTGTCCCAGAGCCCATGGGCACCGACTCAGGAGGCTTTCTGAGGAGATATCTGGCCTTCCTATTTTCCGGTTCAACCACATGGCAACTACTCTTTCACCAGTTGGACGTGCTGGGGATCCAGGTGAGATTTCAGTGCGGAAAATGAGCTCCATGGCTGGAGCAAACCGGGAAGTCACTTTTCCCTGAGCAAGCTAATCTAGCACCCCCCACCCCCCACCATCACCGGGCCGCCTGTAGATCTCTGCAACAGCAGGTGTCCCAGGGGACTGAAGTGACTTGTTTCCATGGCAGTTTTCCCCAAACCACGAGTTCCTCAAGGAAAGCCCACGTCTGGTTTGCTGTTGTGTCTCTGGCTCCTGACACAGTAGGGCTCAGTGCATGTGACATAAAAGGAAGACGGGAGTACTGAATATCGGACAGGCCAAGGCTCCAAAGTCCCACCTGTCCACGGCCTCCTTCTGAAGCAAGACAGGGTGCCCATGGCTTCTGCTGGGACAGCACGTCTACTTGCACCATCTGAGCCTTCCCTCCCCACCCCACAGCCAACAGAGATGGATAATTAATCCAAGAGTAGCCAGTCTGCAACCCCTGACTTATGATGACATGACCTGCTTTGGGAGCAGAAGCACAAAGTCACACGGAGGGGCTGCAGCAGCAGGTGGAGGAGACACCCAGAAGGGAGGGCAGGAAAGCCCCCTGGAAGTTTTAGAATGGAGGAGCTCTGACAGGCAAGGCTGAGACCCCTGTTCTATCCTGGATGCAAACTGTTCCCCCAACTCCATCCACACAGACATGGCCTCTCATGGCTCTTGTTCATGGATTTCCACCCTGGTTTAAACCACCATCACTTCTCATCTGGATTTTTCAATAGCCTCCTACCTGGCCTCCCTGATCCCACCCCTGCCCCCTCCACAGGTTAATATCAGCCTCGAGGCCAGAGAGATCCTTTTAAACACATAAATCAGACGATCACTCCTCTGCTCAAAACCTCCAATGGACTTCTCATCTCACTTAGAGGAAAAGCGAAAGTCCTTGCTATTGGTCTCCAAGTCCCTAAGTGCTTGGATTCTCTCTGACCTCACCTTCTAGTACTTTCGTCCTTACTTAACTCTCTCCATTCACACTGATGACCTGGTTGTTCTTGGAGTCTCCCAAGCACGTTGTCATCTCAGGGCCTTTGCTGTTCCTTCTGCCTGGAACCTTCCCCCCAGGTATCCACATGGCTGCTTCCTCCCCTTCAATGAGTCTTTGCTCACAGGGAAACTTCCCTCATCTTCCTACCGAATATTGCTTTATTTTTCTTTGTAAAACTTACATCTTCTACCGTATTATCTAATTGACTTCTTTATGCCATCTGTTGCATTTCTCTCCCCTAATACGATGTTGAACCTCAAAAGGGTAGAGATTTTTGTTTCATTCACTGCTATATTCATGGCATGACAAACATGGCCAAACGTGGCCAAAGCCAGCCCACAGCTTGTTTCTGTATGGTTCCTGCGCTAAACATGGTTTTTATATATATTTTAAAAGAGTTACAAAAACAAAGAAGAATATGCAAGAGATACTATATGTGGCCAGAAAGCCTAAAATATACTATCCAACCCTTTTCAGAAAAAATTAGCCAACTTCTGACCTTGAATACTGCCTAGCACACACTCAGGCAGTCAAGAAATATTTATAAAATACATTTCTATGACTGCTCCTTTTTGCTTCCACAGTTGACACTTTTTGGATCTTCCCATCCTATCATGACCTCTTTCTCTAAGAAACTGCCCCTTCCCACAGAGATGGGACCCCAGAATCCACATCTGTGCTGTGATTTATACCATAAAGCAGAGCTGGATGGACCTGTGGACATCTAACCCAGGTTCAGCCAATCAGATTTTCTCTCCCAGAAGCTCATCCGAACTAAGGAACTGAGGCTGCCATTTTGTCCGTGGACACGGCTTGCCATGTACCTGCCAAAGCTGTCTATTGACAGGGAAGAATGAAGCAGACAGAACAGGTCAAGTGAGCCCCAGAAGAAAAGAGGTGGACACACATCTGTAGAGTCTTAAGGACACGCATCACACACATGTTTAACTTATGCAAATTCAACTATACGTACCCAGCAAAGGAGTGAAAATGTGAAAAACAAGCGCCATAGAACAGGAGGTCCATGCTGCTCTTTCGCTCAATTTGAGTGTGTGCCCAGGGGGAGCATGAGATGGAAGACATAACTCTCTTATTCCCCAAATTGCTTCCACTTTTCCACATTTCCAGTTTCCACGGCCACTTTAATGTTTAAAGATGGGTATTTATGGCTGACTCAGTTAAGCATCAAACTCTTGGTTTGGGCTCAGGCCATGATCTCACGGTTTCATGGGTCTGAGCCCCATGTCGGGCTCTGTGCTGGCAGCGCCGAGCATGTTTGGGATTCTCTCTCTCCCTCCCGCTCTGCCCCCTTCCCCATTCTTGCTGTCTCTTTCTCTCAAAATAAAAAAATAAATATAGGCCTTAAAATTTCTTTGTAATGTTTCTTCACTTTCGAGAGAGAGACAGAGTGCAAGGGCAGAGAGGGGCAGAGAGAGAGGGAGACACAGAATCCGAAGCAGGCTCCAGGCTCCAAGCTGTCAGCACAGAGCCCAACGTGGGGCGTGAAATCCACAGTCTACAAGATCATGACCTGAGCCAATGGGGGATACTTAACCGACTGAGCCACCCAGGTGCCCCAAGATAGATATTTTTAAATTATACAACACGGGGGGAGGCTGGCTGTCTCAGCTGGTACAGCATGCAAATCTCAACTGAATTCCCAGGGTTGCTAGTTCAAGCCCCACGATGGGCATGGAGCCTACTTAAAAAAATTAAGTTGAATGAATGAATGAATGAATGAATGAAACAAACAAATGGGCTCCTGGGAGTTGTAGTTTGGTCTGCTTGTGCTGGTGCTGCTATCAGCTGTGTGCTAGCTTTTGTCTGTCTGTGGGCGTGCACCACTGTGGTGTCTGAGAACAACCCACGGAAGAATCACTCGAAGAGGTGAAATGCAGGTCATACAACAGGCACAGACATGTTTGGATTTCCAACAGCTCCCCTGATGGACTGCCATGGAGGATATGCCCAACGTGTAGCATTTTTCAGTGCACGTGAAGACAGGAGGCCAACACAAATTTGTTCACTCTGAGGCTGCAGGATTCTGAAAGGGATTCCCGGGCCCTTTTGGAAGAGAGAAGCTGGAACAAAAATTCCCAGAGTCAAAGACACTGCTGGAAGATTCTACAGGAAGAGGTAGTCTGGGGCCGTTCATGAAAGACTCCACACTGGATGGAAACCCTACGAGTGTGCTATTTGTCAGGGAAGCCTCAGGAATCAAAGTAACCTTGCTGTTCAATGAAGGGTCCACAGCAGCGAGAAGCCCTATAGATGTTATCAGCGTAGAAAAGCCTTCAGTCAGAAAGGAAGCTGAATTGTTCATACCAGAGTTCACACCATTCACACCAGAGTTCACACCAACCTGAAACCCTAGGATGCATACAGTGCAGGAAGAGTTTCCATGCCAGGGGGAATCATACCCTGCACGGCAAAACACACACAGGAGAGACACCCTATCTGTGTGGCCAGGGTGGGGAAAGCTTCACTCAGAGGGGGAGTCTGGTTGTGCACCAGCAAAAGCGCCCACAAAGACTCACCCTTTGATCACTGTCGTCAAAGGAAGTTCTCTTCATGAATTAAAAGTACAAAGCCCTCAGATCAGGCAACCTATCCAATTCTGTGGGATGGAGGGTGACTCCTTCAAAAAGACCATCACTGGGTGGTCTGGGAAAGAAACTGACTTTTCTCCTTTCCCCCAGGCAAGTATGAAAAGTAAATGTCTTGTTTATTATCTTTAAGAATAGAATAGAATAGAATAGAATAGAATAGAATAGAATAGAATAGAATAGAGTATATAGTATGGCTCTTCAACACACTCCAACTACATTCATCTAGGCCTCAATTTATTTATTTTTATTTTTTTATGTTCTACGTTTATTTGTTTTTTTGAGAGACAGGGAGAGACAGAGCACGATCAGGGGAGATGCAGAGGGAGAATGAGACACAGAATCCAAAGCAGGCTCCAGGCTCTGAGGTGTCAACACAGAGCCCGACGTGGTGCTCAAACTCATGAACTGCGAGATTGACCTTAGCCAAAGTCGGATGCTTAACCGATTGATTGAGCCACCTAGATGCTCCCATCTAGGCCTCAGTTTAAACACAGCCATCTGGCAGCTCTTTCTGTCCATGGATCTTGTCCCCATGCTTTAATAAAACCACCTTTTTTGCACCAAAAACAACAACAGCAATAAACAAAGCCATCTGGTTCAACTCTGGGGGAAAAAACTTCTATAGTAGACTTAGGAAATCAGGATATGCTAGTGTCCAAGGTGGACTTGAATATGTTGAATTTTAGAACAATTCAAGGAAATCGTCAAGGACAATTTTGACTACCAGGGATTTTTGTTCACAAGCAGACTTTAGAAGCTGATCGCCATCTACAATGGGATTCTACCGTGGCTGCCATGTTCACAATCACTTTCAGAATTAAGTCTTTCTTTTTTTTAATATTTTTATTTATTTCTAGGAGAGAGAGATAGACAGCGTGAACAGGGGAGGGTCAGAGAGAGAGGGAGACACAGACTCCGAAATAGGCTCCAGGCTCTGAGCTGGCAGTCAGTACAGAGCCCGACGCGGGGCTCGAACCCACGAACCGTGAGATCATGACCTAAGTGAAAGTCGGACGCTTAACCGACTAGGCCACCCAGGCGCCCCACTTTCAGAATCAAGTCTTGATTCTAGTTCCTCCTGAGGTCTGGCAATACTCCCATCCTAGAGGTTCATGAGCTCTCCCTGCATCCTCCCAAGAAGTGACCTCGGGGATTTCGTTAGTATAAAGTAGATTTCTGTTACTTACAGAAAGAAGTGAAAATAAACTGTACTAAAATAGCTCCACTTGAATTCCTACAATAGCCTGCCCCTTGCTGAGCCCACCTGTTGAGTTTTTACACCCTGCGGCCTGAAGAAGCCAATGATGAGAGGACTCACATGACATAGTTGATGGCCTGAAAGGTATTGGTCAACAGCCGCATGTGTTCTACTTTGCCCAGCAGAATATCAGGGTTCTTCACCCTAACATAATCCAAGAAATTAAATTCTGTTTTGCACTCCGTGGAAAACTGAACAGCAGCAAACTAGAAAAAGAAGGAAGAGATGAAATGTCATTACATATCCCTTCCCACTTGTCTACTCCGATCTCTCTCCCTCTCTTTCTTTCTCTCTTTCTTTTAATTTACATCCCAGTTAGTTAGCATAGAGTGTAACATTGATTTCAGGAGTAGATTCCTTAATGCCCCTGACCCATTTAGCCCGTCCCCCCCTTCCACAACCCCTCCAGCAACCCTCTGTTTGTTCTCTATGTTCAAGAGTCTCTTATGTTTTGTCCCCCTCCCTGTTTTTATATTATTTTTGCTTCCCTTCCCTCATGTTCATCTGTTTTGTATCTTAAAGTCCTCATATGAGTGAAGTCATGTGATGTTTGTCTTTCTCTGACTGACTAACTTCGCTTAGCTTAATACCCTTTAGTTCCATCCATGTAGTTGCAAATGGCAAGATGTCATGCTTTTTTGATTGCCGAGTGTGCTCCAATCTATTTCTTTTTTTTTTAATTTTTAATGTTTTTTTATTTATTTCGGAGAGGGGGGGAGAGCATGAGCAAGCAGGGGAGGGTCAGAGAGAGAGGGAGACACAGAATCCGAAGCAGGCTCCAGGCTCTGAGCTAGCTGTCAGCACAGAGCCTGACGCGGGGCTCGAACGCACGAACCATGAGATCATGACCTGAGTCAAAGTCAGACGCTTAACCGACTGAGCCACCCAGGCGTCCCTCCAGTCTATTTCTTATCTGAGATCTGGGGAACCCAACTCCACATTCCTGCCTCAGAGCGTTCTTTTGAAAATGAGGTAATATATACACAAACACAGAAATAAAATTAAATAAACCTCTGATCCCTTACGTAGTGCTGTCTGCTGAACTCCTATCGTCTGGGTCAGCCTGCCTCACCAGTGGGGATGGTTCTTAGTAACCATATTTCTTTTTTTTTTTTTTTAATATTTTTTATTTATTTCTAGGAGAGAGAGAGAGAGAGAGAGCGTGAGCAGAGGAGGGTCAGAGAGAGGGAGTCACAAACTGAAACAGGCTCCAGGCTCTGAGCTGGCAGTCAGCACAGAGCCCGATGCGGGGCCCGAACCCACGAACCGCGAGATCATGACCTAAGCGAAAGTCGGACGCTTAACCGACTAAGCCACCCAGGCGCCCCTTAGTAACCATATTTCTGCTGAATGACCCTGCTAAACCGGCTACAGCCGGTTGGGCCACAGAGGGCCACTTGACTGAGGTTAGGCCAGTCAGAATCTATTCTCCAGAAATTTGTAATCTGCAGAGGGAGGGGTTGGTTGAGAGGACCAAAAAAAAAAAAAAAAAATCCTGAAACCTTCGCACATGAACTTGGGAGCTTTCCACAGGCTCATGTGATCCAAAGAAGCTGAGGGAGCTAGTCTGCAAGAAAGAAGAGGGAAGCAAAAGCCAAAAAGAAACAGAAAAGAAGAACTAATGAAAATCCTGGAAGCTTTTTACTTCCTGATTCTTGACTCTTCCAGAGGTCCAGTTACAAGCATGGCTTTCGGTTCTGGAGACACCTCATACCAAATTTTTCTTTTATGCCTTAAGCTAGCTCAAGCAGGCACGCGTGGCCCACAAACAGAAAAACAAATGAATATATTTACCTGGTAGGAAGAGTTGCTGAGTTTCCTCATCACATCCTTCATGAAGTCCAGAATTTTCTGAAATTCATCTTGCTGCAGGCTCATTGAACCATCAAACAGAAATACCAAGTCTACGTTGCCCTTTATACACTCTACAGAGGCCAGACACAAGGGGACTTGGTGAAGTGGCTCCATGGGTTGGCCTGCCCATGCTGGTTCCCTCCTTTGAGCAGCCACTTGGGAGAGATTTTTACCCAATGGATCCCCAGCTCCTTACCCTGATAACCAGGGCGCCCTTGCAGCGGAGGATCCCTCAGATTCTGCTGGAAAAGGTAACACAGGCCACTTAGATAAACATTGTGGTCACATGTCCGAGACAGCCCAGGGTCACAGGCCTGAAGGAAGCAAAGGTTAAAAAAAAGAAAGGTTAGGGCTTCCTTTTCCTGTGTATCTTTTGGGCATCATCTCAGCCAAGAACAAGAACTTGCAGAGTCATCGTCCCCTAACCTCACTCCCTACATCCAACAGGTGACAAGGCAAGGGAGTTCTGCCTCCAGGTTTCTTTCTTTCTTTTTAATAAGTATTTATTTATTTTAAAGAGAGAGAGAGAGCAGAGGAGGGGCAGAGAGAGAGGGAGACAGAGAATCTGAGGAGACTTGGAGTTGTCAGCGCAGAGCCTGACTCGGGGCTTGAACTCACACACCACGAGATCATGATCTGAACCAAAGTTGGACGCTTAACCAACTGAGCCAACTGAGGCATCCTTCTGCCTCCAGGTTATTTATAGCCACCTCGCCCTTCCTCTAACTAACGCTATATGTCAGTGGATGCTCACTGCCTATAGGACAGAGTCTAAACTCCTGAGTTTGGCATGCACATTGTTCACAGTTGAGCACTGCCCTACATTTGCAGGCCCCTCTTCTTCCATTCCCAATCCCACATTCTGTGTTTAAGCCAAATCACTCACTATTCTCAGAATATACAATGTTCTTTCTTTCATTTATGACTATCTCTCAAGCTGCAATTTTCTTGAAAGTCAGAGCACATGTCATCTTTGTATCTCACTCCTCTGACCCCATCAGAACCCAACACACTGGCTAGCATGTTAATAACAGCTAATTAAACAAACTCAAATTAAATGCTGGATAAATATTTCACTCAGCCAGCCTTCTGTTTCTCATATGCCTGTGTCAGAAGATGCTGCTGAGGTGAACTGTAAAGACCAATGGGCTTACAGTCAAATGGGAACTTGATTCAAATCCTGGCTCTACCTCTTTAAAACCATGTGACCTAGGGGCACCTAGGTGGCTCAGTTGGTTGAGCGCCTGACTCTTGATTTCAGCTCATGTCATGATCTCGTGGTTTGTGAGTTCGAGCCCCACGTTGGGCTCTGTGCTGCCCATGTGGAGCCTGCTTGGGATTCTCTCTCTCTCCCTGCCCTCCCCCCCCAATAAATAAACTTAATTAAAAAAAATAAAATCATGTGTTCTTGGCCAAGTTTCTTAGCCGCTTTGGCTTTGCTTCCTCATGTGTAAAATGTGTGTGCTGATGCCTATCTCACCCGAGTGTCTTAAGGGTTAAAAAAGATAAAGCAGTGATTCCCAAACTTCAGGAATTTGTGTACCATAGGACAATTTCTGTCATGTGGGTGTCTCGGGCATACTATTATTTATTTGATATTTTATTTACTTTAAATTTACTTTTTTTAAACCTTAGCTTCATCCCCAGCAATTCAATCCAAGAAATCATGAATTTGATGTTCCTAAAAAATCATTAAATACAAATATAACTATAAAACATTAACAGTTTGTGTACCACCAAAAATCATCTTTGTATATCAGTGGCCATAGGTATTTCATATTTGGAGAAAAACTGATATTAGGTCTCAAAAATAGCAGGTTCAGCGACTTCTGGGTGGCTCAGTCAGTTAAGCATCCGACTTTGGCTCAGGTCATGATCTCACGGTTTGCAAGTTCGAGCCCCGTGTCTGGCTCTGTGCTGACAGCTCAGAGCCTGGAGCCTCCATCAGATTCTGTGTCTCCCTCTCTCTGCCGTCCCATGCTCATACTCTGTCTCTCAACAATAAGCAAAAATGTTAAAAAAATTTTTTTTAAATAGCTGGCTCATACTCAGTTCTTAACAAACACTGATTGAATCAGAATCTCTATTGCCTTTAATCATCTATAGGATCTTTATTCCATTTCCCTTCCTTTTTTTCAATCTCTCTTTCTTAGCATCAAGTTTCACGGGCCCTGATGTCACACTATAGAAAATTCTTTTTTTTTTTTTAATTTTTTAATTTATTTATAGGAGAGAGAGAGAGAGACAGCGTGAGCAGGGGAGGGTCAGAGAGAGAGGGAGCCACAGACTGAAACAGGCTCCAGGCTCTGAGCTGGCAGTCAGCACAGAGCCCGACGCGGGGCTCGAACCCACGAACCGCGAGATCATGACCTAAGCGAAAGTCGGACGCTTAACCGACTAAGCCACCCAGGCGCCCCACACTATAGAAAATTCTTACCAAAAGGCTTCCCTGTGTGGAGTCTGTTGCCAGGGTCATTCCCAAGTACCTGGAGGTATAGTTGGAACCTGTAGACACCAGGAGATTGGTCTGGAGCAATTGAGGCAACCCAGGTACGGTGGGCCAGCCTCAATCTCCCTGGGACACCATACCTCCCAGGCTTGTCACCAGCTACTCACCATGCAGGCTGAGTGGTACGCAGTGGCCAGTGCCTGGCTGGCACTGATAGAGGTTTCCTGTGCTGTTCCCCTCACCTGGAGCTCCCACGACAACCCTGATGAGAAATCTCACCTGTGAGATGGAGTTGTCCCGTTTTTACCCACCCACTCCCACCCCGGGGTAGGGAGGGTTCAGATCCATTCAGATCTCAAAGCAATGCAGCCACTCCCCTTCAGGGAGGCTCCTCAGCCCCTACCTCTTCGCTATCGAATCCCAGATAAATAACCCAATATGTCAAAATTCTAGAATGTTAAGGATCTTTTTCCATTTATAGTCTAGAAAAACAGGTCCAGAGAATGGTGTGGCACAATGTCACATTATGAGTTCATTCAATCAGTCACCAATTCAAAAGTCACTTACAGCATATCTACTATGTGCTGGGCTGGGGTATATATGTGCTAGGGATGAGCCGGGGGTGGGGGTGGGGATTGGGGAGTGGGGAAGAGAAACAAAATCCCAGCTTCATGGGGCTCACTGCCCAGTCAGAGCGCGAGTGGGGAGTCTAGGAAGTGTTGCAAAGATATTTAGGGGCTGTGATACTTCCATCAGGCACTTATGTGGAGCTTTAAAGATGCACCGTCTTCGTCCTCTGTTTCACCACGACTCCGTGAGACGCAGCACCCCGCGCCCCCCCCCCCCGCCGCCTCGGGACCAGCGGGTTCCCCATCTGCCCACCGGGGGCTGGGGTACTGGCCCGCCTGTCTGGACTCTGCAGGGCAGGGAGGGCCTGGGGAGGCAGCTCACCAGTCTCCAACTTGCAGAACGCGGTACCCGAAATGTCTCCCGGCGTGTGGGAACGAGAAGTTTTGCACGTGTCGCACTTCCAGGTTGTAGCAGAAGGCCGGGGCTGAGGGAGGCCGGGGGTGCGGTCAGCCGCTTCCGCCGGTCAGCGACCCCGCACGCGCCCCCGGAGCCGCGGGCACCGATTGGCCGGCGCCCACGTGCCCTAAGTGGGTGGGCCACCCACAAAGTCCTCCGCAGCCTCCGCGGCCAGCTGCCTACACCCCGGGAGGAGCCCGACCTTGCCCCTTGGGCTTCCCCTTTGATGGCCTTGACTCTGGGGAAATTTGAAAGGAGCGACTCCCTACTACCCGGAGCCCATTTGACCTCTCAGCAAAGAAGGAAGGATAAGGCGGAGGTCCGTGAGATAGTGGCAGATGGAAGGTGCCCCCAAAACGATGCGGTTGCCCCATAGCAGGGTGCATCTCCCTACGCACCCACTTCTCCCTTGGGCCTGTGGCCCAGGATAATTAAGAGCTTCAGGATCCCCTGATTTCTGTGAAGCTGCCTCTCATCTAATGCTCCCTTCCTGCCCACCCCACCGTGCCCCAGGCTCTTCCTTAGCCGTTAGCTCTCAGATTCCCCCATGCCACCCCCCACCTCAAGCAGCCAAGGCATCTTCTGCGAGCCCCTAAGTGTCCTTTCTGTCCCTGCTTTCTTTCCAGGCATCAGGCTTATTTCCACAGCACCCTAGGGTGGCAGGTGAATGGACTGACCTCCAGAAAGGGCGAGGGGCTGAGATGGCGCACGGTGGTGCCATGGGCAGGACCAGACCGCAGCCCAGCTCCCGGTACCCATTAGCCGTCTGCCTCTTCGTGAGGCCTCACTCCACATCTCTGTTGCCACCCGTGTCTCCCTTCTCTGTCTTTCCCTCTACACCTCGCCTCTCCTTTGGACTCTTTCTTTCCTTTCCCCCTTCTCCCTCCAAGATTCCTAACCCTCATGTCGCCTGTGACCATTCATTCCCAAGCTTAAAGTAGCTCCTCAGTTACTCCAGTTCCACAAAGCTCCACCTTTTCCCTGGCCACAGACACATGTCCCCTCTCCCCTGCCCCCCGTTTTCCCCTTGCCTACCAAAGAAAAAGGGCCCAGAAAGCAGCAGCCTCATTATGATGATGCAGGAGTTCATCCTTCAAGCGGCTGGAGGGATCCGACCAAGGAAGGCTCCAGGTTCAGAGAGCCCTTGGGATTTGCTGACAGCCCAGACAGGGTGAAAGAGGAAAATGATAATGCCCCGGGGCCTCTTGCAGTGGGACTTTCTCACAGAGGCGCCAGGCTGGTGACACTGGGTGGGGGCGAGCCTGTAAGGGTTGTGAAACCGCATGGTTGAGAGGAAGTATAAGCAGGTTAGAGACATTTCCTGTGCCTGCTTGCATTTTCACATCATCCAGGAGCAGACAACACAGTAGGTAGGTGACTGCGTCTTCTGCTCTAGAGCTGCTGATTTGTTGTCTTTCACCAACACACAAACTGAAGACTCTGTAAAGCTCAGTAGGAGACTGGTCAAATTAACTGTGGTACAAACCTAATGGAATGCCACCGGGGGGAAAAAAAAAGAGAGAAAGGAAAGAAATAAGGTAAGAGAAAGAAAAGAATGAGATCGTGCTCTCTTGACGTTGAAAGATGCCCATAATACACTGTTGAAGAAAAAGAGCAAGTTACAGACAGTGTATTTAGTGACTTATTTTCATTCAAAAAAAAAAAAAATATCCCCAGAAGGGAGAACATATTTGGAAATCACATATCTGATACAGGACTTGTATCCAGAATATGCAAAGACCTCCTGTGACACAACAGTAAAAAGTCAAATAACCCAGCTTTTCAAATGGGCAAAAAATTTAAATAAACATTTCTCTGAAGATGACATATAAATAGCCACTAACATAGAAAAGATGCTCAATGTCATTAGTCTTTAGGGAAATGCAAATCAAACTAAGGGGCGCCTAGGTGTCTATTCTTGTTGGCTAAGCGTCCAACTTCAACTCAGGTCATCAGGTTGACAGCTGACACCTCAGAGCCTAGAACCTGCTTTGGATTCTGTGTCTCCCTCTCTCTCTGCCCCTCCCCTGCTCACCTTTTGTCTCTCTCAAAAATAAATAAACATTTAAAAAATAAATAAATAAGTGGTGAGGTTAAAGATGAATTCCATCTTTAAAAAATGAAAACCGGGGGCGCCTGGGTGGCTTAGTCTGTTAAGCGTCCGACTTTCGCTTAGGTCATGATCTCGCGGTTCTTGGGTTCGAGCCCCGCGTCGGGCTCTGTGCTGACTGCCAGCTCAGAGCCTGGAGACTGTTTCAGTCTGTGACTCCCTCTCTCTCTGACCCTTCCCTGCTCACGCTGTCTCGCTCTCTCTCTCCTAGAAATAAATAAAATCAGAAATTGGGTCAAGATGTTAGAATCACAATTATTTGACATTGATTGGAATAAATAAAAAATAATAAAATGATTTAAAAATAAATAAATAAATAAAAATAAAAAATGAAAACCGGAAGTTGAAATTGTTCACGTGCATGCACGTATAAAAAATCTGAAAAGACACACAGCCAAACTCCCAAACACTGAAGAATAAGGTTTACATATTTCTGTATTGTTGGATCTTTTTTTTTTACAATGAGGATGTATAAATTATGTAATTTAAAAAAATAAAAATTGTTAAAAACACAACAGAATTGAGGAACTTGTCTTTGCTTATGGGAAAATGGGAAGGACCTTTAGATTCTCCCTCTGTTGTGAGGAAATCCTGCTCAATTTGCAAAGCCACTTCCAGTAGCTGCCCCTGGGGAAGGCTTTTGCAGACAGATTATCTATAATCTATAATCTGCTGCTAGGCAGCTACAATGTGACAAGTGGCCTCCTGGTACTTAAATAACATCAGATAGTCTTTTTCAAATTCAGTTAAAATCAGATCATTCAGACTGATTCCTTTGATCCTCTCTACAGCTGTTAAAATTTACATCTGACCAAATTCTTTTCTATTGTTCTGAGATTGCAAAAAAGAAAATACATTTAAAAATTCAAACATTATAGGAGTGCCTGTGTGGCTCAATCAGTTAAGCGACCCACTTCAGTTTAGAGAGTTCTGTGTCTCCTCTCTCTGTCCCTCCCCCACTCATATTCTCAATCTCTCTCTCTCTCACAAATAAATAAACATTTTTTAAAAGTGTAAAATTTTAAAAAATTCAGGGTGCCTGGGTGGCTCAGTCAGTTAAGTGTCCCACTTCGGATCAGGTTGTGATCTCATGGTTCATGAGTTTGAGCCCCCTGTAGTGCTCTGTGCTGACCGCTCAGAGTCTGGAGCCTGCTTGGGATTCTGTGTCTCCCTCTCTCTCTCTCTGCCCCTCCCCAACTCACTCTCTGTCTCTCTCAAATATAAATAAAATATTTTTTAAAAAATTTAAACATTACAGAAGCATGTAAAGTAAAAAGATAAAGACTCTCTTTTAACATCCACCCCAACTCCTAAATCTCAAAAATAACCATTGGTAACAATTTAGAGCCATACATTCTTTGTGACAAAAAATTATTAGTTCTAGTAATTAACCATACAGGTTGGACGTGTTTGGAAAAACTAATTATCCTACCACAGAACTTATAACCCAGAATTAATAGCCAATTTGGCCCTCTCCAGAGTAAAGAGGCCACCTTTTAGGCCTCTGCAAAATTTAGATTCTTGAATCAGGGCTTATGTTTACAGAAACTTCAAGTGTATCAGTAATAACCCCTGGGATAGAAGGAATTCAGGAAATGATCTCAAAGTCTCTACTGCTTGGATTATAGTCTATGTGTATGATTTAGCAGGTAAGTATACCGTTTACTTTCTGTTTGTTAATTCATTTATTTATTGAGAGAGGGCGAGAGTGAGTGGGGGCGAGGGGCGGGGAGAGAGAGAGAGAGAGAGAATCTTAGCACAGAGCCTGACGCAGGGTTCCATTCCACAACCCTGGGCTCATGATCTGAGCCAAAATCAAGAATCGGATACTCAACCAACTGAGCCACCCAGGTGTCCCTGGTTTTCAGTTTAAAAGAACAAAAGAACATTTTTCCCCCTTCTGTTTGAATACTGTAAGTTTGAGGAAGCCTCAAAAGTACAAGTAAGCCCCAAGTCTTCTAGGGAGTCAGGAGTTCTATGTTGGAGAGAGCAGGTGACCCCCTGAAGAGCTGGGGGGAGAGCAGAGATCTGAGGCTGGGACCTTGTGGACAAGTCCTGAGGCAGGATGTTCCTTGATCACACTTGTGGACGTGCACACACGTGCACACACACACACACACACACACACACTGCTTCCTTAGTCGCAGGCCTCCATCATATCTCAAATTGTTCTCTGAGGGCCCATTGGGGTCTCTCAATTCCATTCCATTTGTTCAAACTCCCATCAGTTCTCACGGAAACAATTTACTGCCACTACGGCTCTTCCTTCCTTCACTCTCCTGCTTCTAGAGAAGGTTCCACCTCCTGGGGAATTCCAGACTAACCTTGAGAAACCTGATGATGTCTTTCTCAGGCTTTAAAACCTCTGATGATTCTCCTTTTGCATACACACGATCATCTCCAAACTTGTTGGCATGGTCTTCAAGGGCCTTGTCGCCTCTCTATACTCTGCACTCTTACTTAGCAAATGACTCATCAGTGTGCAAACAGACGAAGCATCTAGAGAGGGACTTGATGAAACTCAAAGCATTGGCCATGCTGTCACCCACTTCTGAGGAAAGCAGTAGAATGTGCTTTCTGCTTGATGTTATCTTGGCTGCATCAAATTAGCAGTATGACACTGACAGTGCCCAGGGCGCCTGGTCGGCTTAGTCAGTGGGCATGTGACTCTTGACCTCGGGGTTGCGAGCTCGACCCCCATGTTGGGTGTGGAGATTACTTAAAAATTAAATCTTTTTTTTAAATTTTTAAATGTTTTCTTTATTTCTGAGAGAGAGACAGCATGAGCAGGGGAGGGTCAGAGAGAGAGAGGGAGATACAGAATCTGAAACAGGCTCCAGGCTCTGAACTAGCTGCCAGCACAGAGCCCGACGCGGGGCTCGAACCCACGAACCGTGAGATCATGACCTGAGCTGAAGTCGGACACTTAACCGACTGAGCCATCCAGGTGCCCCAAAAATTAAATCTTAAAAAATAACAAAAAAGAAGGGTGCCTGGGTGGCTCAGCCGGTCAAGCATCTGACTTCGGCTCAGGTCACGATCTCTCGGTTTGTGAGCTCGAGACCCGCATCAAGTGCACAGGAGGTGAGCCCTGCTTTGGGTGAGCCCCACTTCTCTCTCTCTCTCTCTGCCCCTTGCTCACTTGCACCCTCTCTCTCTCTAAAGAAGAAAGAGAAGGAGGAGGAGGAGGAAGAAGAAGAGAAGGAGGGAAAGAAAGAAAGAAAGAAAGAAAGAGAGAGAGAGAGAGAAAGAGAGAAAAAGAGAAAGAGCGAGAGGAAGGAAGGAAGGAAGGAAGGAAGGAAGGAAGGGGAAGGGAAGGGAAGGGAAGGGAAGGGAAGGGAAGGGAAGGAACTGATGTACTGGCATGAGACAGCTGGCCAAGGGCAAGGTAGCCTCAGACAGACTGAACCCAAAAGATGCCAGCTTTCTTCAGGATGGCTCAATTGCTCCACTTACCAATTGATTCATGGTTCCATGAAAATGGACTCAAACATATCATCTCACAAGGGAGTGAGACATGAGAGCCTATGCTGGGAAGTTCTGGGGCTACCCAGGATCTGGGCATCTAAGATGAAGCCAGCAGCCTGGATGCCTTAGCTCTTCTGTGTCTGGTGTAAGGTAAAGTGATTTCAAGTATGTCTTATTTTTCTACAGGTTCATCTGTAGACGATGAGAGAGAATTTTCTCTTGCTCCACGCAGGAGACTAAACAAGATTTTGTGTCCAGCCATTTCTCATCTTCATCACTGCTCATTCCCTGGTCCGAGCCACCATTACCTAGTGCCTGGATTTTGTGGCAGTCCCCTAACTGGTCCCTCTGCTTCCAATCTTGCCCCTGTGATAGTCTGTTCTCCATACAGCAGCCAGGAGGATCCTTTAAAGATATAAGCCATGGGGCCCCTGGGTGGATCAGTTGGTTAAGCATCTGACTCTTGGTTTCATCTCAGGTCATGATCTCAGGGTTTGTGGGATGGAGCCCCGTGTTGGGCTCTGTGCTGACAGTAAGGAGCCTGCTTGAGATTCTCTCTCTTCTCTCTCTGCCCCTCCCCTGCTCTCTCTCTCTCTCAAAATAAATAAATAAATATTTTAAAAATAACAATAAAAATAGATGTCAGATCATGTTACTTTCTTGCTCAAAACCCTTCAGTGGCTC